CAATTTGCATACACATAAAATGCATATGCTAGCTCAGACGGTGAAATCACGTGGACTTGAATATTTCCCACCAGCTGTCCCGGTAATTTTACGTTGGTGATTGCCGACATTCCAAGCTCAGTCGTTGGAATCCGTCATGCTATTCATTCCAAGTGCCGGGACTATTTGCCAAGGGTCAAAATACGTTACTACCGTTATAATCGTTGTTCAAATACGGTTGTAATGCTGCAGTTTGCAATGTGGTCAAGGCGTTTTTTTTTTACGTCGTCGCAAACGTCGCGTTGTGACGGTAAAATAGTGAAATGAGCAGACAAGTGTATAGAATTACATTCTTTATTACTTGGTTAATTTATTTGACTTGACGGAATCGAAAACAAATTCTCTCCCTCCATAATTTTGCAAGTGTAAAATATCAGGTTCCGTACAACGTATTATAAACGCTTGACCGTCTGAACAACCTAAATAGCAGGCCGTTTTTCAACGACTTAACCAGTTAGCTAGCTGTAGTGGTAAATTCTAGCATACCCATATTGACGGCGGTTTTTCACCGACTTGACCGGAAATAGGTTCAATATCTAATTTGCATAATATTCAATCACATTAACCAATCATCAGATTTCAATGAAATTTGATGCTCTGGGGTAAGCTGCAAATTAGTTAAGGGTTTAAAGCAGCATATTAATTACTCAATTTACATTAACTAGCTGACTTTTATCTCCTCCACAAATATCTCTGGTACCAAAACTTTTCAAATTTCAATGAAACTTGCTACTAGGCCAATAATTGCAATTATGTACATTGAATACATGAAAATTACAACCCCTTGTTTAAGCAGGGTTTTGCTTACAATACCATTATCATAGTTGATGAAGGGAAAGATATATAGAAAATTATGTCTTTGTTGTCAGTGAATTCGCTGTAATACTTGTGCATGTTTTATGTAAATTTTTCACGATATTGTTTTTCTTTTTCTTGGTTACAATAACTCAAACAATTTATATTTGATAATCTTTGTTTTAATATATTGCTATGAATTTCTATAAAAAAAAAATACCAAAAATGTGCATCGGTTATTGTTATAAAATATGGGCTACTCTATAATCTTTAATTTAAAATATAACATGAAACATGAAGAAAGTTGTAAATCTATACACAGTGTATCGTCTATGGTTTATCTATGAAAAGATTTATGCTTCTGGTATCCTCAGTACACAGGAGTCTTAAGGTTTTGTGTGTACCGTTAAAATCCTATTATAAACCGCGGTTTATATTACAATGTATCAAATAAAAAATTGGGATCAACAGCTCAAGTCCGAGGTGCGGTTTATATTAGGTACATATTGCAATCACTAAATGGGCGTGGTCATTTTTTTCACACATCACTTGCACAAAACAAACAATACACCGTACAATCTTTTGAATATAAGCTAACTCCAATTTAGATGTCAAGGAAGAGTGATAAGCGTCACGTCACAAAAAAACTGTTCATATGAAGAAAAAAAATACTCTGTATATTTAATGTAATATGCATTTTTTTTTAATTTTCTTCGTAACTGAAAGTATATTCTGACAGGAGTTTCAAATAAAAACAAACATTAATGCATTGCTTAGTAGAAAATGATCATGGTACGGCACTAAAAAAGTATGGTCCCGTGGGTATGGTAACGCAATCCGGCCATGCTTCGGCTCACAAGTGATAACTTACTTGTTTTCGAACTGTTGAAATTATTGATTATTACTCAGTAGTGATTATAACAAAACACCAAAAATAAATTTGTTGAATTGTTATCAAATGCAAGTAAAATTCAACTTAGTTTCACCGTAATTTTGGTCACATGTAAACGATCGAAGCAATACGACTTCCGCTATGTAGTTTGAATGCACACGAGACATTACTTGACCCGGTAGGTCAAGTCGCTAATTAACCAATCAAAATGCTGGATGGTGCCCACGTGTTCAAATTACCTTAGTTTATTTAAATATGTTAATGACAGGTCACCGACTTCATGGTGAAAGAAACCCCAAAGCGATTTACCAATACTGTAGTGCGATCTTTTGGCTTTGATTTCCATGGGAAAATGACATGACTTTTTTTTTAAATCAAGAAATTAGTTGTTTTCGAAAGATAAACTGAGCATTGAAAAAGAATTTAACAGTTTTTCCGAGAGAACAGCTCATTGTCGAAAACTTGCGACACACTGACGTATTCGTAAGGAGTAATGACAAAAGTTGTCACAAGACAAAAGCAGTTTCACTGCGTGTTTGACATCCTAACACTACTGAACAATAAAGAGGTGTGAATATTTTTAGGCACGTTGTCGAAACAAATAAGATTAGTAATAATGTACCAGCTGGTTGAAACGAAATCGATCATGGTCTTGTTGAATTGGGGGTGCGGTTAGTAATAGGTACTTTTCATGTTTTCAATTTTTGGTGAGAACTCTTTAACACTGAAGCCGAATTAGAGGGTGCGGTTACTATTAGGGATGTAGTTTATAATAGGATTTTAACGATACTCCATATTTTTATGCAACACTGAATACATCATTATTTTTTTCTAGATTCTTACAGCCATTTTTTGAAGGATTATTTCCAAGAGACAATCCTGCTAATACAAGATTTGCTATCAACTTCTTTACAACTATTGGTCTTGGAGGACTCACGTAAGTTATTTCTCTAACTCAATGATTACCATAGTTTCATATAAAAGGATTTCCCTGGCAGTATGTTATGTTACTCTATTTTTTTTCTCCAATGTACAAAGCTACCTTGGGATATTGGTGAAGTTGTACATTAATGACTAAATTTCATTTGACTTAAGTTATTTAGGGGCGTTCCGGTTGAAAATTAACTCGTAAACCAGTGTGTTTAGATTTTTTTCCGAAACATAAAGAACGCGACAAACTACATGTTTCACTAAATGCACTTATTTCTCACTCCCTTTTAATATTGACATTTTAAGAATGTTGATTCATGACACTAATTCAAAGGTTGATGCTTATTAAAAGTCATGAAAAAATATAGTATATAAAAAAAATATAGTATATTACAAAGCTGACTTGACACATCCTTATTTGTTTAGTTAGAACTGACTCTCTGAGCCCGACATGCTTTGATCACAATTATACAGCTGATAGCCAATTCTGCCATTGATTCAAGCCTATTTGGTAATCAAGTTTTGTGACCCATAACTTTAATGTTATAAATCATGTCATTTTACCATACTGATACTCGATCATCCTGGGACACCACGAAAAAAGTCTGGAAACAAATTAAACTTGTCATATATATTGCTTTGCTTCAGTCACTGTAGTTTCAGAAATAATGTTTTGCAATGACACTTACAATTTATGTTTTTCTTTTGTTAGTGATGAATTACGTGACCACCTGAAGAATTTACCTAAGTTAATAATGGCACAAAGACAAGAAGCAGAGGCTTCAGATTCTAGTAGTGATTCATCCAGTGGTTCCTCTGATTCCTCTGAATCTTCTGGTAAGTATTCTTTTATCAACAGTTAGAATAGTTCTTTCTTTAAATCACTAATAATTACTATCCCTTCATACAAAGTCTGGAAACAAAGTCTGCAAGGTCAGTTGACCTCCATTCGTCTGTCCATATCCAGCCATATCTCACACATGCTTGGCCCGATCATGTTAAAACTTCACATGTATATCAGACTTATGCACATGGATTTGTTTCATGATCTGATTCCAGATGGCTGAATGGCAGCCATTTATGGCAAATATGCATCAAAATCACACATTCACTATTTCGTAACCGGGGCTGTCACCATGGTGACTTCATTCAAACTTTGTATATTGAGTTACAGGTGTTTGTCATATTTTTTAAGATTCAAAAAAAAAATGGCTGACTAATGGCCATTGTATTTCTTGTCCATGCTGATTCCTCACTAATATATTGCCTGATTCAGTTGAAAGTTTGCATATAAGGAATAGGTAATACCATAGGTTGTGTGACTTGATCAAATTTGTCGAAATGACAGTCACCGCTACTCCACTACTTTGCATTCTATTTTCACACTTTGCACCACTAATCCAACATGTTCCTCTAAAATTCTAAAATTGCAGTCTGTAAATGTGCCCGAAATCCTTTCTAACAGATGAACAGGGCTTTGTATTAGGATCATACATATTGAGATACAGGTGCACATCATTTGAACAACTTTTTCTCTGAGATGGCTTGCATGATTTCACTTGAACTCACTACAATGATTCTACATACTGGATTTAGGTTCCACATTGCATTTTTTAGTGATTCAACCAAATGTGCAGAAGTTTGTCTCTACTTCTCATCTTTCTTATCTGACTGTGTTTCAAAGTGACAATGACTTATTATTTCTTGTATCTTATTGCAGAAGAGTCTTCTGATTCTGAGGATGAAAAGAAAAAAAGAAAAATGAAACAAGCTCAGAAACGGAAAGAAAGGTCAAAAGAAAAAGGGCATCATAGAAGTGAAAGTAATCAAAAGGAGAGTGCAGTTAGCAGAAAAGAAAGAACTCAAGATGCAAGGAGAAAGTCAAGAGACAAAGACACCAGAAAACGAAGTAGGGACGTCAGAGATCAAACAATGAATATGGACAAAGAGCATGGCAATAAATTAGTAAATGAAAGA